AAAAAAAAAAGAAAAGGATATATACCGCAAGGTGACACTCTTTAAACAAAAGTTGTCTGTAGCTCAATTGGTTAGGCTTTGAAATTCTCTAAAGCCTAGAATCGCGTGTTCAAACCTTATGATGTATTCCCTATACAGACATTAGGATTTCTTGATTTTGTTCAACTTAGAGCACCCTGCTTATTGATATAGTATCTATAATCAACCGAGTAAGTGCAAAATATCATTCTACTTCGCTATGCAAATCTATTGATAGACCATCACTGAATGGGGTGAAAGTCTACTTGAACTTTTGATACACAACGGAGTATATTTTAACCCAAAATACAGGGAAATAATTGTGATAACCTGACAATGAGCTTCATAAATTGGTGTAATACCGAGGTTGAAATGAATATCAGGATATCGCAGAAAATGATAACTTATTAAGATTCGAATATTTGAGAATAGAGACAAATGAGCTTGAATGATCCAGGTTAAGGGCACAGGATCCTAATGTCAAGATTCAAGTACCTATATAAGACTATTTTTGTTGATTTAGTGATAATTTGAGTAGCAATTACTTACAATATGTCTATGGTCTCCTTATTTAAAAGCTGTCCATTTAGCCAATTCATATTTATGTTGTTTGTGAACGATTGCTTTATTTATATGAACTCAATTTTAATGTTCAGTACTTGGAGACGACAACAAAAGAGGATTGGCTTGACACCCAATTTGTATCATATGGTACCCCTGAAGAGCCTCTGACATCCATGCCTTTTGGGCCCAAGTTCTTGGCTCAAAAACTTTATCAGTTATGCTCTCCTGAGGTAAGCTTTATATAGAAACAAATATTTATGTTTTGATGAATGCAATGACATATACTAAATCAATATTATTTGGTAGGATGTTGCATTAGCATCGTCATTGATAAGGCCAAGCTCTCTGTTTATCGAAGATCTATCAAAGGTGAAGTATTTCACGGACGAAGGGTTTGGATCAGTGAAGAAAGTTTATATAATCTGCACTGAGGATAAAGTATCACCAAAAGAATTCCAGCAATGGCAAATTGACAACAATGGAACCGTCATCGAAGCAAAGGAGATCAAAGGTACTGATCATATGGCAATGCTATGTATGCCCAAACAACTTTGTGACACTCTCTTGGAGATTGCCCATAAATACAATTGATCCATCTCAACATCTTCTACTCTTTTGAATAATTAGTAGTTGTTGCTTTCAACTTGAGAAAACATATGATTGTGCTGTTTTTTATGTATTGAAGAATGTGTGATGAGATAATTGAACTGTGTCAATTCTTATATTGACGATTTCCTTTTACAACTTTTTATGTGTTATGTCCACTAATTGTTGCCTTCTCTAACATGACTTGGGAAGTATAAAAAAATAAGAGCAGTTGAAATTTACTCAAAAGATTAGGAAACCCAGAGCACAATGCTAAAAGGTGTTTTGCTCTGCTTTGCCTGCATAACTATAGTTGATAATAAGAGGAAATTAGAAAGTATAAAATTATTTGTTCACCATCTAAAATGGAAATTGAATAAGTTATAAAAAATAATGAATAAGTTATTGGTATGATTGTAGAACTCATAATTCTATTTCTTAGGAGAAAGGACGAAAAACGTGTGTTTTTCTTGTTCCAAATAAAGACCGAGTGTTTTAGTTCTCCTTTTTGGATTGAGAAGAAATCTCTATAAGTAGGGTTTCTTCCATCCTGGAAACAAGGGTTCTATATGATACTTGTCCAACCAAGTATTGAGAAAGTTGGGGTGTGAACTTGGAATCACTATAGAAGATCGCAAAATTGGAGTCTGATTTGCTTGAAGATATATATTCAGGGGTGTGTTATCTCCTGTATTCAGATTAGCAAACCAGAAATAATAAAAGATGAAAAGAAAAACACAAAGAACTATCCGAGTCCACAGAACCCACTGTGTGTCCTTAAGAAATTTAATCCCCTCAAGTACCCGAGGTTGCAGATTAATTCCTCCCAAGATAAAACGGATTAACCATTAAAGAAGTAGTGGTACCTCAAACTTCGATAATTTCAACGAACTCAAAATGACAGCAACGAATCACACACAGAGACACGATCGATCGATTTTGTTTTGTAAGAAATGTATGCAAAAGAAGGGAAGAATTCGATGCAGAAAAATGAGAGAAAACCTCTCTATTTATAGCCAACAAAGGGTAAAGGTCACAACCCTTTGGAAATAAGACAACCTTTTAGAAAGGTCACAACACTTTGAAAAAGGCATAACCTTTCAAACGGTCACAACTCTTTAGAAAGGACACAACCTTTCATAAAGGTCACAACCCTTTGGCATAGTCACAACCCTTCATTTCCTGTTCACACCTTTAAAACCCAACACTCCCATCATAAGGAAGAGAGGAGTAGAAGTTCTTGTGGATCACCATCATCTTCATCTAGGAAACATCGATGATCCTGCAACCAGACTATACCAAGTAACATAACATGAGTAGTATCTGTTCAAACAACATGTATCAATAAGCATAATTGATTGACCCAAATCCACCACGTAATATCATGTAAATAATTAGAAGAAACATAAAACTTGAAGTTATACTACCTCGATCTTTCAACAACATCCATTACCACCAGGTATACTACCTCTGAACTCATACACTCTATCCCAGGCCTCCCTAACTCATTCCACTGCCAACTTCACCGGTAGGAGTCATTCCACCCTACTATAATGTCCTAACATATCCCCCTATCACATGCATGCTTCTTGAACTTACCCATCTTACCAAAAACTAGAATTATATTCTAATTCTAAATTCAAATCTTCCAACTATCCTTGTTAATCGGTCTGTCACCTCACTTAAGATCCCATGCCACCAACCCTGACCCTTGGACTTTAGCCAATTTAATGGGCCTCCTACAAATTTTTTACTTATCTACTTAAGTAATCCGGACCACCCAAGGATCTCTAAAACACCATCTATGGTTCTTAATTAACATGTAATCCCGATGATACAAGAACCACTCCAGCAAATTAACAAAATAGTTCGACCACTTACAGACCAACACACACAAGCACATCAAAACATATTTACATTCATCCATGATAGAACTTGTATCAGGCGTGGTACTCGAGCAAATCATAATAGAATTTGTAGTAGGTGTGGTACTCGAGCCAATCGATAGACATTATTTACATGGCGTGGTACCCAAGCCAATTAAAAGTAAAAAAAATCACAACCACAAATGAAATAACTCACACTTGTAAAATCAACAAGTATTTAAGACTAGATAAGAATAACAATGAATATCCCTAACAGTCATTCCCTTAACTCCTAGAACACGAAATGTACAAGCAATACTAGTGAAACAATTAAAATGAACACATAACATAAATTGGAAAATAATTTAACCATCACCTACACCAACTATGGTCCATTGTCCTAGCTTACATGACCCTTCTTAGACAGATTCCCAACTCATTTAGTTAGCACATTAATGCATAAATCTCAATGTCAGACCTATTAAAAAGTACACATCCTTCTTCGGAAATCCTTTTCTATCATTTATAACCAGGCTAAAAGTCTATTATGACCATGTAATCCATTCACTTAATCATTATATGTGCCATGAACCCACCTCAAATTCAATTTTTCAAAGATTAAAAACCATAGGATAAACACCTACCATGAGTCAAGCGTCGACATCATCTACCCCAAATCCCAATACTTTTCCACCCCTAAGAGAAATAACCAACATGTTTTAGACATCCACACTCCGTGTTTAGAGGCCTAAGCTTGGAATCTTCTTACATTCTACAACATATTATGTATTCAAAAATAAGTTTAACCACTCAGTTAAGCCTAGCCTACCTAGGTGCCAAGAAACTACTTCGGGAGTTTAAGCACAGACTTTTGGCTTAGTAGAGGCGAAACATGAGGGAAATTAGGCTTGGAATCCATGGGTTTTACCCCATTCAAGCGGAAAACTTTCATCTTCATTGTTCCCAAGATTTGGAGCAGCCTAGGAGGGTTTTTAGAACAACCCGCATCTTTTTTGAACATGAAGCGGAGAAGTCCAATCATAAAATCTGTGTTTACTAGTTTTTGATCCTGTTAGCCCGTTATAGCAACCTACCAAGTGTTACATCAAAAGTGCTATAACGGAAAAATTCTTACTATAGTGAGATGACATTAGCCCGAGTCAAATTTCAAAAATTTTCATCATGTCACGCCAATGTAATTCAATAAGGTATTTCAATAATTCCTAAAATTCTGTAACGAGGTGCCTTTTAATAACGACTAAAAGGGTCGTTGTAGTTTTAAGTGTTGTGTGTAAGATTTGACAAAAAATTTCTTATAAGTTGGTTCAATCTTTTTTCCCCTTTTCATTATCTTCATAAAATCTAACATCTAGAGTTTGTTAAATATTTTTTGGAGATTAAAAGTGCCCAGTTTTATCAAACTTAAAATATTAAAACTTCATAGGAGTATAATTAGAAGCACATTCTGAATTTTAACTTACAAGATTCTTACTATTGAACTCTTCGTACTTCTAATAACCCGCTAGGTTATTTTCTCTATTTTAGTATATTTTTTTCGTTTAGAAATTTTAAGTATTAATCCTAAGTTATTTATGACTTGTTAAGACTGACAGTTTAGTCACCTGCTCGTTCATTTGGTTTTATGCAAGTTTCTATGTTTTGGAGCATCTATAGTTTGAACGGTTAACTTTGGTCTAAACATCAAGTAAACGACCTCAACATGTAATTTTGATGGTTCCATTAGCTCCGAAACGTAACTTTTGGTCTAGATGAATCTTTCGTTTGGATTTTGAGGCTTCCAGACTCGTTTAAGCTACCTTATGACTAAACTCTAGAATGGAGCTTGAGTGTGGGACCCAAGTTTTGACATTTTCATTGAGTCTAGAATGTCATTTCTAATTGAGTAGCATATTCGATTTGCATTGGTGGGACCCAAAAATAATTTTAACAGTCCGGCAGATACTTGGGAATTTAATACCAAAAGGTGGTGCACTAGCTGCTGATGTAGCTGCTCCCGTGAAGCCTAAGCTCACACCTGCAAAAAGCAGACCACTCATACGGAGCTTGGCCACTTTGGTGACTTTACCCCTATGGAGCTGGGGTTTGCTCATGTGGAGTTGGTAAGTCGCTGACCCTCACACTGGCGACCTATTGCACACCTTCAACGACATCGGGGTCGCCGGAGCAGCAATAACAATGATTAAATCATTGAGGCCATCTTTTTTTTTTCACTTTGTTTTGGAGGTTTGAAAGCTCAATTCTTGGAAATTTCTTATGAGATTTGTTGCATTGAGATGCGATTAGTGTGAGAACATTGTTAAGGTTGTTTTTCACGCTCCTGAACAATGTAATTTCATGTTTAAATTTTCAATTTTACTGAAGAAGTGGATTTCTTAAACTATTCCTTGTTGAATTGTTTTGACGTCGTTTGAGGCTTGGATTGTGCCTATTTTGGAGTACATGTTTCTTGTGTTGGTTAGGACCTTTTGGTGTAATCAATTCATGATTCCTTGTGCGAGTCCCATAATGCCCCTTTTGGCTCATTTTTAGCTTTATTTTAATTGTTGTGAACTAGGTGTCAATATGATCGTATTGATGTTGTGATCATTAATTTGATAAAGTGTCATGGTCAGAGGTGATTTGAATGGGAAAACCTCTGGTTTAATAAATTTTATAGTGCACATGATTGACAACGAGGTAGGCTATAACTTACTAACTTTAGACTTTGCTTGTGATAGTATTTATGTGATGTTTAGCCAGTTTTGAGTGGATTTTTAGTATGATTCCCATTTAAATGATAATATTCTCGCCTTTGCCTATTTTTTGGCATTTTATGGGAAATAAGTATGTTTTTACCTTATCTGTGATGCTTATTTTGTTGTGTTGAGTTGTATGCTTGTTGTATTGTTAATTACAGTTTATTCTTGACCTTAGCCTAGGCTTAGGCTAGTGTTAGCACTACTAAAAAAATAGTGTTTACCGACGAATAGAATCCGTTGCTCATCTATGAAATTCCGTCACTAGCCATGATTAGCGACATATTAATGACGGATTGTTGGTTGTTACTACTTTGCTCATTAATAATCTCTTAGTGACAAAAAATGAGTTCCGTCACACGTTTAGCAACGTTTTAGTGACGAATTATATCTGTCGCCACTTGTTGGTGACAGACTGGTCCGTCATTATACATATTTATATAGTTTTATTGCTAATTTCATAATTCATTTAGTCATTTTGGATAAATTTGAGACAAAATTTTGATGGCTAGT